CAAAAAACCTAACTGTCACCATCCCTTTAATCATTTTTCTCGAGCCCACCAAGTACGTCTGACTCCGGATGACAATTCCCCCCGATCAATTCATAATTCCAGACTATTCTTAGCCCTCCACTTCTCTGCCTCACTCCCCCCGAAATAGCTGCCAATTTCGGGATTTGTGCCCTCCGCGGGGCCCAGTAGCCACGACGAGACGCGCCTAATTACGGCTCAGGGCCCGCTATTTTCGGCTCGATTCGGGGTGGGACCCGCGCTCCGGCGAAAACAGGGTTATTTTCGGCAGCGTCGCGTTTTTTACCTCGGACCGGAAGGAATTTCGGGCCCGGCTATTGGGATACGGTAATCCGGTCAGGGTTTAGGGGGCTTGAGTTGGGTCTCGCTCTCATTCACTCGCTCTCTCTCTCTCTCTCACTCGCTCTCTCTCGCTTCGTACGATTCTGACCGGTCCGGGAGAGAGCGTAAGACTAGAGACTGAGTTCGAGCAAAAATTTTGGCGTTTCCCCTTTGCGGTTTTCCTACTGCTCTGCAAACAGTATCCCCGGGTACAGCAAAATTTTTTGGGGTAGCTGGCTCTCTCTCTCTCTCTCTCTCTCGCTCTCCAACCGTGCCAAAATTTTTGCGATAAACAGCAGGGTTGTAAAACGACCAGCAGAGGGCAAAGTTCCGGCAGTTTCCAAAGTGTAAATAGGAGCTTTCCGGAATTGTTTAAAGGGAGCGTGACAGGACTAGGATTAGGCCTAGGCTTATGCTTCGGTTTCGCTTTCAAGCCGTTTTAAAGGCACAGTGACACTAGACAAAAATTCCGATGGTGCACAATACACCACCGATTCCACCCATTTCCGTTTTCCGCAATATAAATCGCGTGGGGGGTTGCGGGGGGAGTGCACGGAACTGCTTTTCAGAGGTGCGGGCGGTAGAACCGGCCGCGTTTTTCGAATGTTATGCAGAGCGATAGAAAGGAGAGAGAGAGAGAGAGGGAGAGAGAGAGAAAGAGAAAGAGAGATAGAGAGAGAGCTATTTAGCTGGAATGTCGGGGCGGGCGGAAATGCCGAGATCTAAATAGAGATGGGGGGCTAATGGAGGAGAGGAGAACCGATGAATGGAAATCGGGAGGAGGAGAGGTGGATAGGATTGAAATGGAATTGAATTGACAAGGGTAAAGATCGGAAAAACATCGGTTTTAAAGGCACGGTGACAGCTGGAAAATGTGAGGGGCAAGCTAGCAGAGACCATTTAGACAGGTTGAAGACAAAAGCGCTAACTAGGGGAGATTCTTTTGGAATTCCGAGTCCAGGCATGCTAGCAGAGACCATTTAAAAATCGATAGGCGGGCAGGAAACCCACAGGACGGGGTAGGCTAGCAGAGATCCGTAAGGAACCACAAAACACGGCAAGCTAGCAGAGAACCGATTTAGGAATAGTTAAAACTACTGATTCTTAAAATCAAAGCGGAGCCCTTAGGACATCCCCAACCTAGTGCTAGGGGGCAAGCTAGCAGAGCTTATTTGAGCTATAAAAATTGATTGCCCGGGTAATTCAGTGCGGAAAATAATGATAATGAAAGAGAGAGAGAGAGAGAGAGAGAGAAAGAAAATACAAAAACCTCCATAACTACCCACCTTCCACCACCATTTCATACTCCAATGGCTCGACACATGTGTCCGAAGCCAGAACAGCTCAGCGCTCAAATTCACGTCATCTACCGGACTGCTACTTGTCGCCAAATTTCGCAGCGAAGAGAATAAGCCAGATCCCTGAGGGCCAGTAGATGAACATTGGGCCAACGGGCTAATGCTCCCCGAGTGATTGCTCGGCACCGAATGGTGTCCCTGGCTGTGTTGTTGTTGTTGTTGCTGCTGCTGTAGATGTCTTCTCTTCTCCTTCCTGCTCCCCGTCGGGCTTGAACTGCTTGATCTTCTTTTTTTGAGGGGTAGCCCGGTCGATAATCCAGGGATATTGGCCAGGGGTTGAACAGGGAATCCAAGGTAATCAGCCCTCTGATCCGGGCTGTCATTTCTGGAGTATTCTTGGGGTTCACGGAGTTCAAGGAGTGGCTCATGGGCTCGGAAATGGCTTGGATCTTTAGCTTTAAAGCCAAGAAAACTTCTTGAGGTCCCAGCTTCTTCTGGGGATTTTACGGGAAAGCCGAGGAATGTCGATTTGGGTACGGTAGCTGAGGGAGCGAATTTTAGGGGGAACCCGAAGAAGGGCTTTGAACTCTCTGAAGTTGATGGTCTTGCAACTTTTAAAGCTTCTGAAGCTGTATTGACTTCAGAAACCGGAGATTTTCTCGCCCGCGACGTCGGCAAGGGGTTCACCCGAAGTAGTGGATGAACGATAGGGCCCTCTTCGCGATTTGATAGAGTCATTGACGCGGAACGGGCGGATGTTGACGGGCCATCCGTTGATAGGAGCGCCGCGTCGTCGTCAATCTGTGGGCACAGAGAGACATGACGACTTCGAGAACATGGTGAAGGGGTACGGGACGGGCCGAGACCCCAATTACCGAATGTTGACACCGACAGGGTCATAAGGAACGGGATTCCGCCACGATCCTATCGCTAAATGACCGGTTTAAAGGACCGTTGAAGCCTGGAATAGCTGTGGATTTGGGTTTCCGATGGAATACTGTTGACACCACACGGAATCGAGCTTTTAAAGACCCGTTGAAGGGAAGAATAGAATTAGATTCCGGATTCCGATGAATCCCCTCCACCTCTCGATTGGAGGTTAAAGACCTTAGCCAAGGGATAACTGCATTCGGGATTCCGATGGAATAAGAGATTTCCGATTAAAGGGCCGGAGAAGCCAAGAATAGCTATATACTCCAGATTCCGAGAAAATACAAGTGACACCTCGCGTAATCGGCCGGTTTAAAGGGCCGTCGAAGCGAAGAATTGCTATGAATGTGGGCGTTTAAAAGCCCGTTGAAGGCGATGTATGGATTACAGCTTGATTACAGCCCAAATAACCGTCCAGAATCGGTCAGCCAGCCCAGCGCGGCCGGGCAGTAGATGGAGAGCCGAGTGGGGGGGGGGGGATAGAGGCGGCGGGGGGCGGTGGGTTGGTGGAGGCGAGAGAGAGAGAGAGAGAGAGAGAGAGAGTGCTGTTGACACAGGCCGACGGACGAATGGAGGGGAATGGGAAGGGAGGGCTAAATTTAGCAAAAAGGGGAGGAGGGCCTCGGTCGTCCCGTGACACAGCCAAAGAGAACCCCCAGAAATGAGAGGTGCTGAACCGAGAGGAGGGGATCGCTTAAGAAAAGAGGGGATCCTATTTTTTAAAAATAAATCGAGCGCGAAATCACCCGATTTTACAATTAAAAATCATCCGTTCATCGAATAAAGTTTTAATCCAAGAAAATATTTTGAAAATCAACCAATTATGAAAGCAAAGATTCCGATCTCAACCAAAAACTTTTAAAATCCGAAAAAGCTCCCCGGAATTTTAAAAACAAAATAAGCTTTGTAGCAAATTTTTAAGCTTAATTTACTGTTTTTTCGTAAACTGCTATAAATAGTCAACGATATGCAATTTAATGTATTTTAAAGAACAATACGGCGATTTATTTAGCGTTAAAGAGACCGAGAATCTAATGAATTACGTCAGACAATCAGGGGTTGAAGCATTAATGAAAGGCTCAGATTAGTTAACCCTAAAACCACCCAATTCGAATGTCAATAGGAAATTGCTGGAAACGTTTTATAAATATTTGGGAAAATTCTAAAATCCTCTCTGCACTAGAAAAATTGATAAGCGTCATAGCGCTTTTATCACAAAATTTTGATCGTCCACCGGTTCCCAAAGATCACTGCAGCTAGCTTGCAGTTCCGTAAACTTTTTTAGCTTTTCTGGCTCACTTCCGAGTACCCTTAAAAGCTTCCTCCGCTTCGCCCGCCGTTCCAAAATGTTCCTATTGACGAAGGTGCGAGTCGACGGCCCACTTGAGAATGTGGGTATTCATCCTCCAACTTTTCGGACCTTTCAAGCCCCCAAATCGAATGTTCTTTAGAGGTTGAACCCGGATTTCCGAAGTACACTAATGACGATTTCAGGAAAATTTTAGCGCGAAGTTGCCTTACATAGGATTGTTGCGTATGGAGGGAGGTTAGAAACCCAAAATTCCCCCCAAGGAATTTTGCTATGATAGCTTGCAAAAAAAAATAGTTGCGGGATTGTTCAGGCGTCCGCAAGAATCGCTGCTAGCCTGTCCGGGGGTTGGCTTTAATTTCCAAAATGGTAGCTTTTCCGGCTCCTCAAACCCCAAAATAGCACTCTTTGGGATTCCCAAAGGGTCTCTGCTCGTTTGCCCGGTGATTTCAAGGGGCATAGACAAGTTTTCCGGCATTCTTTCTGAAGAAGCTCTGCTAGCTTGCTCCCTAGCTCTTCACCTGTCCCAAATGATCGCTGCTAGCATGCCCTTCTTATCTTCATTTTCTACAAGATTTTGCGGGTGGCTCTATTTTAAGCCAAGCCGAACCATGGATTAGACTTCAGAAGCGAAAGGATAGAAGAAGGGATTCGCCGACGGACGTCTCTCTGTCTCTCTCTCGCTCTCTGCTCTCTCTCTCTCTCTCTCTCTGTCTCCCTCTAAATATATTCTGAACCCTCAGAGTCTCCACATCGATTCTAGCACCCCATTTTTTAGAAAGGGGAGGGAGAGAAGCCCGCCAACAAAATGAATTGCCGGTTTGAAGGGGAGGGGAGAGGGAGGAAGTAGTTTTAGATGGGAGAGAGAGCGAGAGAGAGCGAGAGAGCGAGAGGAGGAGAGAGAGGGAGAAGAGAGAGAGAGGAGAAGGAGAGAGAGATACAGTGCAAAATCTTCGCTTTAACAGCATCTCAAACTATAACATTTCTCGATTTGCGTTGTCTAAGAATCCAAAACAACCAGAAAATGCGGCTAATTTCAACCTTAAATAGGTGCACCCTGGACGTAACTGTAAACTACCATACCCCGCCCTAATTTGCATAAATATCCCCGAAAACCACCGTACCTGTGCCGGGTTCTCCCACCGCTGCTTGAACTCGTCCCGCGCCTTGTCGAGGAAGTCTTTGACTGAAAACGGAGAAATTAGCATATAAATTGGCAGATTTTTCACATTTACTCCACCTTTAACTTAATTACTTATTTGATCAAATTTTGTGATGAAATTTGCGGTTTTTGATAGGCAAAAATTAAATCGAGGAAATTCTCGTATTTTAACACAGATTTTCCGTGACGATACAACGAACAGTACACGACATGTAATTACGAGAATGACAAAAATACAAAAAATCAAATTTAGTTAGACCCAATGAATTACGCTAGTAAATAGGGGTAGCTTTAGTGGTTTAGGTGGTGGTTTAGACCCATTAATGAAAATTTCGTTTCCTTTTTTTGTGTGCTAAAACTCGAAAATTTAATGAGTTACGCCATCTAATTCGAAGAAAGGCTTTACGCCCTAATAAACACTGGCAATTAACTGGGAGTCAAATTTCTTCGAAAAATCCCTTTTCTTAGAGCTCTAAAGAGCCGTTCCCCCGTCCGTCTCTCTCTCTCGCTCTCTCTCTCCTCCCACTCTTTCGCCTGTTGTCTATCACCCCATGTGGGGGGCCTATATCGCGATGTGTGCCCCAGAATCGAATTAGAGCCCTGGATGGGGGAGGGAGGAGCAGCAGCTTCTGCCCCAACAACCCGAGTACGAGACGCTCCTCTTGACGGGACAAGAGGGAGAGAGAGGGACGGAGAGAGAGAGAGAGAGCGATAGAAAAAGAGTGACACGTCACGAGGAGCATCAAGGAAGTGAGGAGCTTTGCCTGGCTAGACAATAAAATTTAAGTCTGGCAAGTGGCCAAAAACGCGGTGCGACTCAAAATTGTCAAAATTCATCTTCAAGGTCCTTAAAGCCGAAAATTCCGACTTTTGGCAAATAGCCAGGGATCCGATTACGCCTTGTTGATACGACTTGAAATGCTGAAATTAAATTAACTTTTAAAAGACGGAAACGATTACGAGATGTAATTAGTGCTACCCTGAAAATTGTAATATATATGGCGTAATTTGTTAATATAGTCTGGGAGTTCATTTTAAAGGGATGGTGACAATGAGGCGTGGATAGTAGCCGCACGGAATTCAGCGTATTTAGCATAAGGCATTGGGCGCATTCATAGCTAGCTAGGTTTCAAAGGAAAGGTGAAATGCTGTAGAAAAACCTATGCAAAATGACCGAAACAATATGCATTAAAAGCCGTCGAGTTCGAGCAGTTCATCCCGGAAACAATGATAATAGACAATAGTTTTGAAAGGGATAGTGACAACAAGAAAAATCCGAAAAATCTAGCCAAAAGGTCCAAAAATCAAAACCCTGATTCTCGACGTCTTCGAGCAGTTCAACCCGGAAAAACGATGATATCCATTAGCAGACAAGATTTTAAAAGGAATGCGACAGCAAAGAAAACAAGAAAATATCGGGCCGGAATGGCTCTAAAAACCAAATTCCCAGCCTCCAACGACTTCAAGCAGTTCACCCCGCCAATATGGGCACTTACAAAATTTGATCTGCACCTTCTTGTTGGTGGCGGTCGCCATCAGATGGTGGAATAGAGGGGGATGGCGAGTTGGAGGAGGGCAGAAGGGGGGGGGGGATGAGGGGGAAGGGGCCCAGCCAGAGGGCCCACGCGACGCAACCGCCCCCTAGGGCCCAAAAGAGAATAGAGAGAGAAGGGGCCCTATAGGCCACAACAAGAAAGAGAGGGAGAGAGGAGTCTCACTCCCTAGTCTCTCTCACTCTCTAGCCCCGCGCTCTCGCTCGAAAAAGAGAGCTTCCTGCTCCACCTCTTCCTCCTTAGGGGGTGAGAGAGAGCGAGAGAGAGGGAGAGAGAACATTACCCACAACAAATGAACCTCGGTCTCGAGCTCGAGCCTCGGGTCACAACAATATTGCGGGCCCACTTGAGGCCCACATCCCCAATTTTGAGCCCCAGCGCTACGCAATCGTACGACTTTACGGACTTGGGCAGCCTAGCAGAGCGGATTTGGGATAGAGGCCAACAAGCAGAGACCATTTGGGAATTTGGAGAGGGACGGGCAGGTTAGCAGAGACCATTTGGGAATAGAGAGAGGGTGGGCAGACTAGCAGAGACCATTTGGGAATTGAGAGATGGAGGGCACGCTAGCAGAGATTATTTGTGAAGGGCAACACAGCCAAGATTTTTCGGGAATTCCGGTTTTCTTGTTTTAAAGGAGCCTTTAAGCTACCTATTCCTCTGGACTACAAACTACACCCTTGGCCAGACGGGCGTTGCGGCCCCCCTAATTCCACCACTTCCCAATGCATTAGCGGAAAAACGGGAGGTGGGAGGGAGAGAGAGAGCGAGAGAGAGAGAGAGAGAAACCAGACACATCCACGGCTTTACTTACAGAATTGCTCCATGCAAAATGCCCACCGGGCACTTTCCAGGTCCTTGAGCGAGAGAGCGGGCAGACACAATCAATCGGGTAGTTCGATGGATGATGGCTGGGGACTGTCTATGGGATGGGTACGTACTGACTGTCGCTCTCTCTCTCTCTCTCTCTCTCTCTCTCTTCATCTATCTGTCCGTTCTACCGGTCGACAAATCGCTTGGCTGGCTGGGGGGAAGGGGAGGGCAAAAAGGGGATTTCTATATGTGACTCTCTCTCACTCTATCTGTCTCTCTATTTCTCACTCTCTCGCCCTTTCCATTTCAATACTCGGCTCGGCCGGGCTATTTTTGGGTGGCTGGTATGTTCCAGCCGGGACACTGTTACCACTTTCTCTCTGTCTCTCTCTGTCTCTCTCTCTCGCCCCGAAAAATCGGGTAGCCCCCCGACAAACTGTGGGGGGAGGACGGAATTGGACTGTTGACGGCGCACCTACTCGCAGCCGGTATCCAATCTGCATTTTAGGAAACGGGAGGACGCGGAGGAGCAGTAGGATGAGCAGGAGGAAGAGGAAAAACGAGGAAAAATAGGAGAAAGAGGTTCGGGAATTTTAATGATTTTTGTATCTGTCTTGGCTTTCTCGTGCTCCTGATCCTCGCAATCTCGTTCTCACTCTCAGTCTCTCTCTCCCTCATTTTCCAGCTCAAAAACAACCCGAGGCCAAGGTTCCGGCCCAGATTTAGTGCCCGGTTTCCGATTACCTTAGCACCCGAAAGGAGAATGAGAGGCTGTGTATCTATCTCCTCTAAAACGTGCCCCCTGGCAACTTCCGGAGAGAGAGCGAGAGAGAGAGAGAGAGAGAGAGAGAGAGAGAGAGAGAGTACGAAATCATGTTTCTTTCTGCATCTCCCCTCCCTAGGTGATGAGGGGAGGATGACAGTTGTGCGTGTGTCCGACCCCTATCCCCCCTCTCAGCTACGAACCCCTCCAAATGACGGGCCCTTATTTGTCACCTCTAAAGGGATGATGACACTTGGGAAGATACCTGAATTTCGCGGGTTTTAATTTTCGTTGAGATCCTAAGGTTTGCTGCTGATTTCCCGGGAAGCCAATAAATTTCGGGAAGTGCCGATGAGTGTGACATCTGGGTTCTCACAACATAAACTCCGCTCCCCTCCAAACGACACCCCAGTCGACGGCCGGCCGTAATTTGGGAATGGCTCGGAATTTTTTGGGTATTTTGGGTGGAAATTGGGAAATTGAGGATGAGGCTGTTAGAACGAAAACGACAGTTCAGATAAATCTGACTTGAATAGCGTAATCGATTAAGAAGATAAATGTCACGTTTTTTGGCTAAAATACCGGTTACGACATGAAAATGTGAAGCAGATATTCATTAAAACGGGGAAATTAATTATTTGATCTTTTAGAAAAAGAGGATTGTTCGATTTTTGGTATAAATTGACGGGTTACGGTATGGAAAAGTTACTAATCGGAATTAAATACCGTAATTGGCTAGAAGGGCTGAATTTTAAATTTTTTTAGGCAAAAAGGGTTGCTAACCGCATAAAAACCCAGCAATAGAGAAATAAGAAGTTATTACGGTATTAAACGTGAAAACTTCAGAATGCACTACGGAAATTTATTTCTATTCAATCGATTAAAACCATTCCGCGACAAAAATCGAATATTCGCAAAGAACGGCCTAATAATTGACTCGCGTAATCGATTAGAAGGTTCAGGAAAACCCAAAAAATATTGAAAATATTGAAGTTTTAAAAATCCGCAAAATTACGGTAGGCAGAGTACGGTAGGATACAAATTACGCTCAGAAATTCGTTAATTACCGGGATCCAAGGCAATAGACGTCTTCCGGCTGGAAGCGGCACTGCGCCCTCCGCAGCCCTTCCCCTTCGACGGTTTCCGCGCCAATTTAAATGACACGGCCACCGCGACGTCACCGTCAGGTTCATCGGAATATTCACTGTCGGACTGTTCATCTTCATCCTCTTCGTCATCTTCATCTTGGGCAGCGAGATCTTTCGAGGAACTGGCGAACGGCAGTTTGATCGTGCTCGTTTCTAGAGAATCATCAAAAAACTCTAGGACTACGAAGTACACCTCTGGACACCTGGGGGAGCCTGGTCAGGGAATATGGGCAAAGCGTAATGGGAAAACAAAAAAACAAACAAAAAATTTCCCTGGCCGGGCTCGAACCCGGTCCCTAAAGTTGGGAGTCAACACCACTATCCATTAGGCTACACGAAAACTCGATATTTTGGGTTTGATGGTCCTTGAAAAGCGTAATTTTGAGCTACAACGACCATAGAAAGAGTGATTTTTCGATTCCTGTCCGTTTAATGATTATTTTTAAAGGGGTTTGGCTTGCCAATGCCTTGAAAGTCTATTTTAAAGGGATGGTGACAGTCCTAAGCAGGCTCCCCGTGTCTTTCCGTCAAGAGTATCTACCCGTAATCGATTCATTCATGGCCGACACGGCCACCAAATTTCCGACAGCATCCACCTGACAGACGGCGTGCATCTTTTAGATGGCACACTGCCGCGAATATCGATTCCTCTAGCAGTATCAATAAATAGCTAGCAAAATCAGGGAGCTATAGATTGTGTGGAAGAGTGGCCACAGCTGAGTAGAGAGAGATAGAGAGAGAGGAGAGCAACAGGGGAGACAGTTGTCTCCAACGAAATCCGACACGGCGCCACCCAAAAGCTTAGGTCCCACCCATCCCATGGCTTTTCACAAAAATCTCCGCCCATGCGTCTCTCTCTCTCGCCCTCTCTCTCTCTCTCTCTCTCTCTCTCTCTCTCTCTCGCTTTCTCTCGCTTCTTTCGATTGATTACGAGGGCCTGATCAGCCCCGAGGGGGATTTGCCAATTGATTAAAAGGATTACAAAGTCTAGGCCGGGCGTAGACAATCTCTCTCTCTCTCTCTCTCTCTCTCTTTCTCTCTTTCTCTCCCTCTCTCGCTCTCTCTTTCTGCACCAGGAACCAAAAGATCTGACTAATCTCCCGCTTGACCCCCTAAAACGTGACAAATACGACAGTAATCCTGGCGCCAGAAAATGAACTCTCAAAAGATCCCTGCTAGTTTGCTCTTGAACCGAAACTGCAAATACTGCCAAATGATAAAAGTTGACCTACACTACCGTATCCCTATGAATCCCTGCTAGCCTATCACGACCGAAAAAGCTGTTTCCTTAAATCTGACAAATTCTACCCATTACCGAATTCCTCAATAATCCCTGCTCGTTTGGCCTAGAAATCGCCTAGCCATCTCATTTCATGGCGTAATCAGCTCGTCGGAGCGGTGATTAGGGCCGACCTGGGCCCTTTGAGTGCCCAATGTAGAAACATTGAGTGTCGCCAGACAAGCGAGGGAAAGCGAGAGAGAGAGAGAGAGAGAGAGAGAGGACTCCAAAAGAAAGTGTTAAGTGCCCTGTTACCACTCTTTTTCCGCCGCGAAACTGCGAAACGGTTCTGGGCACTCAACAGGTAAAAATAAAACGGAAAAGGTGATGGGGGGTTCTGGTGGTTTTAAAGGTATTATGAAGCGAAAAATTTATGGAAAATGAGCGGCTTAAAATAAAAATGCATAGCGTAACGGTTTAACCCGATCAACGTCAACAGTACCAAAACGTACACCATGGACCCACCGTACTCCAAATATGCGGGCGTCACAAAATCCGAGCGAAACTCCTTGATCTCCTTCTTCTCCTCTTTGGTCTTGTCTTTGATCTCCTTCTCCCTCTTCTCCCTCACATTTTTCCCGAAAAAGAACGACGACGCGAGCATCCGTCGCGATGACGGTGGAGGACAACCCTTGTCAAATGGATAGAGGGGTGTCGATAGGAATCGTGCGGAATATAACCGAGTTGTCGTCTGTTGCTTGGGTTATTCTTTTTGGGCCTTTTTGGGGTGGGGGTATCCGTTTTCAGCCCGGGTCGCCTAGCCCCTAATTGGCAACTTTTCGACGGTTTGAGCTGGCGGGTGCCAACCGATTACGAGGGGTAATTCAGCTCGTCGGCTTAATCGATACGTCAGGTAATTGGACTGGTTACGATAGGAAAATGGTGATTTTTGGAGCCACTGGTGCCGAGTTTAACCGATTACGACAGATATTTGAATCGATTACGAAAGGCAATAGCGTTTTATGACCTTTCCTTCCCCGTTTTGAAATCGATTACGCCAGATAAATCAGCTTGCGGGTTACGGTAAGAGGGAAATTGCCCTTTTTAAGGAGGTTTTTGCTTTGACCCTCTCTTAGGTTTAACCGATTACGCCCGGTAATTCCGCAGTGGACGGTATTGCAGAATAGCGCGTTTTAGCGAGGTTTCTTCACTCCCAATTGACCACTTTCACCACTAGCAGCCAGCCAATCGATTACGCCAGGTGGTCCTGGGCTACCGTAGCCGGATCGTAGTGCGCGTTTTAGCGATTACAACAGGCAATATTCCGGGATACGGTAGAAAAAGTGATTTTTAGCGTAGGAGGGCCGGATTTAAAAGGAGTACGTCTCCTTCCTATCTCCACCCAATTTCAAAATGGGTCGATAGGCGGAATATTTTGGAAAAGAAGATAGTTGAGGTGGTCTCGGAGAAAATCGGCTCTGGCGGCTGGGGGGCTGGGTGGGGGGATGAGTCTCAGCAGCCCATAATCGGGGGCTATAGAGCAGAGAGAGAGCAAGAGAGAGAGAGAGAGAGAGAGAGAGAGAGAGAGAGAAAGAGAGAGAGCTAACGAGAGAGATAGGCTAGAGAAATATAGCGCTCGACAGAGACACACACACTCAAATATGTATGGGTTATGCGAAGGGGAAAGGGGACCGCTTCTCACCCCTTTTTGAGCGGACGTCTTCTGAAATCTGGGTGTGTGTGGGTCTCTTCTTCTTGTGCTTCTGGTGGGTCTCGAAAAGATCCGACGAAAATTGGCGGGTTGGAGAGAGAGAGAGGGAGGGAGATCTCAAGACGACCACTTCTTCACACCTTCCCCTCGGGCTACCTTTCAACCGGGTGGATTTCGAATTCTCGGGGGTTTTGAATGGAAAGAAGGGGTTGAGAAGTCGGCCCAATCCGATTCCGACCACACTTCCGGGTCTCAAAAGGGGGCACCGATACAGTAGCCGCTTAGAGGGATTCGAACAGTACGCAACGCTCCGTTTTGACCGTATCGTGAAGGATTCGAGGCTACCGTAATCCTAACAACCGGATTCCGTTAGCTTTCTTTAGACGTGCGGTGCACCGTAGCTGACCGGAATTTCGAAGTTGCACCAAATTCCGCACGATTCCTATGGCCGTAGGGAATCCAGCAGCTTGTCAAAAATCGACGGATACTGTAGTTTATCGTACGTTGCCGTAGCTTACAGTACACAGATTCCGTTCTACTCCTTTTGACGGCGTACTGTAAAGACAAACTTGTTGCCTACAATAGCGGCACGTAATTTCCCTTGGACGGGGTTTCGGTAATTCCAAATACAGTAATTCCGATCAATTCCGTTACGCTCCTACGAGAACTACCGTAATTATCGTAGCCTCAGGTTGACCTTAAAATGGTCGTTTAGCGCTCGAATCGAGGGTTTAAAGGGAGCGTGAAAGGACTGGACCATTAGAGTCAATTTTGGCGAATTTTCTCGGTGTAGAGGAGTATCGTGGAGTACGAGGCTCTTGCTCAGAAGGTAATTAGCATGACCTGTTAGAGGTGAGGGATTGTTGCCAAGAGAAGAGATAAGCCTCTCTATAGAAAAGGGGTGATGTACGGGGAGTGCCTGTGGACAGCTGCCCACACCAGGAGAGAGAGAGAGAGAGACAGAGACAGAGAGAGAGAGAGAGAGAGAGAGAGAGAGATAGTGGAACGTTCGGCTCTCTCTCTCTGTCCTCAAGGGAATTGACACATGGCAGAGCTTCTCCTTCTCCTTCTCGTGCTCCTTCGGCTCGTGCTCCTTTCCTGTCAACGCATTCCTTCACAACGAACCGATATCTGTTGGGTCCCATGTTCTCCATCACAGCCCTCTACCCAGATTCCCAATACCCCCGAAAAACTCGCATCCGGATTAACCGGATCAGGAAGTGGCAAACGGGATTATCGGCAGAATTCCCGGAATTTCGGATTTAAAACCTGAAAAAAGCGGTAAGACTTATTTTTGTGTTTTTAAAGGGCGGGGGAAGCGGAAAAGTATTAAAAAAAGAGCACGAACTTTCTAAAGGTCCTTAATTCGCAAATCGTTGCGTTACGGCAGTGAAAATTGGCGTGATTTGCCGGTACTTGACTGTTAGCGGAGGGGCAAGGAAGCAATTTTCCCCCAGCAATCCCGTCTGGTTTTTAACTTTTGGCGAAATTTAAACCATTTTACCCAGTCTTAAAATATAAAAAGCACCTGAAAAATTATGAAAATTAGCTGTCCCCGCTAAACCCCCCGCTAACAGACCAGTACGTACCAATGGTACTTCTTCGAATTCTACATTCGAATTTTTTAGGATTACAGTATTAACCAATTACACCATTAATTCATAATAAAAAGGGTAAGGCTTACGGTATATTTAGAGTATTCTAAAATTAAAAAAGCATTTAGCAGCAACTTACAGAGCTTTTAAAATCAATTGCCTTAAAAATTATGGAAATTCCAAGGGGACGGTAGGTTAAAAAGTACGGTATTTTGCACAATATATAACACAATACTTAACGTAACAAAAGGACGACACAACGACGACGACGACAACGACGATAGACAACAAATAACAAAAAATGTATGTAAATTTCGCCTACGTGTCTGTCCGCCCTGACGACTGTCTCTGGCTGCCGACTCTTCTTGGCCCTTCTTCAGAAATTTGAGCATTACTGTCTCGTCTTTTCTCGATTGAAGGGAATTAGATGAATTGTCGAATAGCAGAGAATTGCCTTCTTCTTCTTCTGCCCTCCCCTCAAATAGGGCAGATGATGATGATGACGATGGATTGACGAATGATGTTGAAGAGTCGAGATGATGAGATTGGAGGGGATCTAGATGAGCAGATTGTTAGTGAAAGGAGGGAGAGAGGGGAGAGCGAGAGAGAGAGAGAGAGAGAGAGAGAGAGAGAGAGTGAGAAAGCAAGAGTGAGAGCGAGAGAGGCAGAAAGGGAGATGGAGTGACAGATCACGATTTTAAATGCGTAATCGGATATCCACAATATGTTCCTATAACAAAACTATTCTTATTATGCAAATTAGCGAAAGATTAGAAGAGAGAGGGGGGGGGGGGGGGGGGGGGGGGGGGGGGGGGGGGGGGGGTTGCGGCAAGGGTTTTTTTTTCGGTTTTGGCGTTTTCTCTAAATTAGCGAGAGAGTCATGTAGTCAAAGAGAGGGAGAGAGAGCGAGAGAGAGAGACGAGAGAGCGTGCGAGAGCGCGAAAAGTGTGTGAGCAAGAGAGTGCTAAAAAATTAGTAAGAGAGCATGAGCCTACAAACGAGAGAAATAAACCCCCCCCCCATTTCCTAGCCCAACCAAATAAACCCGAATACTATATCCAGTTACACCATCAATATCCTCATCAAACC